ACATCTTCCTCCTTGCTATTTTCTCCATGATGTTGCCTTCATCTCGTCTTTAGTTCAGGAATGGGACAGGCTAAAGTTATCATTTGGTGTGTTGGTATTAAAATAAAATCCCTTACTGGGATATCATCCAAAGCAACCTCAAGAAGGGTAAAAGGAGTTTTAGATTAGATTGTGATCAGGAGGAAAGGCATCACAAAGGCAAAGGGGAGAGAAAATTTTCTAGAAGTATAGATTTCTAGAGCCAGTTTGGTGTTGTGGTGAAGGCACTGGGATAGAAATCAGGAGCCTGTGAGTTCTAGTCTCATCTTAGACACGAACAGTGGTGGGATTCAAATATGTGAACAATCGGTTCTCTATGTGGATGCCGCTTCCGGACGTCCATTCTGGGCCTGGGCAACAAAAAATTAGCTACCGGTTCTGCCGAAGTGGTGCGAACCGTCTGAATTCCACCACCGGGCACGAAACCAGATGGGCCGGTCACTCTCTCTCAGCCCTAGGAAGCAGGAAATGGAAAACCACTTCTGAAATCTTGCCAAGAAAACTGCAGGGACTTGTCTAAGCAGTTATCAGGAGTCAACACTGATTTGAAAGTACACACACAAAATATTTTCTGCCAACTTAATTTCACTTTAGCAGTGAGGAAAAAACACTGTGTCTTTTCAGTACTTTTAAGTTAATCTTGACTTTTGATGACTACATAGACAAGTCTACGCAGGGTTTTTTGGTAACATTTTTGGGAAGTGGTTTGTCATTTTCTTCTTCCTTGAGCTGAGAGAAAGGAACTGGTACCGTCAGCTGGTTTTGTGCCTAAGGCAGGACTCGAACTCCCAGCCTTCTGGCTTCTAGCCCATGCCTTTAACCATTTCACAAAATGACAGAGTACAAAATGAAAATTCTTTTAGAGAAATCTGGGATTGTTATATCTGTATGGCATCTGATCGGCCCAGATGACATTATGTCCATAAACTCAGATTCCCTTCCATTGGTTTTAATTTGTAGAGTAGGTTTCAAGAAAGTATTGACAGAAAGCAGGGCTTACGTCTATTAGCACTGTAGCAAAGGAGATAGGATCAATCATATTTTTGTGACCTTAATGAAGAAAACTAAACAAGTTTAATTCTTTTGTTTTGTTTTGTTTAGGCATTGATCTTTGTGAAAATAGTGTTTTAAAGCACATTGGCCATCTCAACATCACCCTTGAGCAGCTCAATATCCTGATGGACAACTTGCCAGGGAAACCTGTGGGTAGAGAAGAAACTGAACAGATTTTTAGCATGTGCAAATCCACAGAGCCAGTACTGAAGCTCTTGAATTTGTGGAGGATAAACAATAAAGACCGAGACACCATCAAGAGCCTGACATTAGGATTGAAGCACCTGAAATCATACCATTTCCCCAAGACAACAATTCAAGGTTTTCGGAAAGTGGTGAAATTCCTTCACAGCCTCACAATGTATAAATTATACCAGAAGCTTTTCTTAGAAATGCTAGGAAACCAGGTCCATTTGGTAAAAATGAGACGCGGGTAGTTTTAAGTTCTCTGATCTTTCGTTTTGCCACTTGCTGCTAGCAATAATTAAATGGGGGAGGGGAAAGTTTTCCTAGATGACAATGCTTATTTATATTTATATGACTGACTGGGATAGCTTAGACTATCTTAGAACTTTTGTTGTTATTTTATAATATTAAAATGCTTATCTGGACTCTGACTCCATCCAAGAATTCCAGTGAATTCCATGGACAATAGAGAGAAATAATAGTGGGGGGAAAAACCCACCTCGATTTGCTATTTATATTAATTTCAAATCTAAATTGTTGCATGTATTTATTAACTTCATTGGCAACTGTTTGAGATTAAGTGCTGAAGCAGATGACCACTTGTTATAGAATCATAGGGCTATAAGGAACCTTAGAGGTTTTCTAATCCAACTTTCTTCCCAAGTCCTTATACCAGTGGTGGCGAACCTATGGCATGGGTGCCAGAGGCGGCACTCAGAGCCCTCTCTGTGGGCACCTGCGCCGTCGCCCCAGTCCTAGGTCTTCAGCTGGGTTTTATAAAACCTTTTCGCTTTAGGCCTCCACCACCGTGTACAAAAAAAAAAGGTTCAATCAATCAGTCAATTTCAACTTCTCACGGGGAAAAAAAAGATCTGGCAAAGTTGGAATTGATTGATTGAACTTTTTAGTCCCACCCAGTCTGCAGTTACCACCGCAGCCATGCCCACCCAATGGGCCACACCCACCCGGCACCCGACGATGCATAAGTGGGTTTTGGGTTGCAGTTTGGGTACTCGGTCTGTAAAAGGTTTACCATCACTGCCTTATACCATCCCGAACAAACAATGTCATTGTTTAATCACTTCTGGCCCAGTATGTATTAATGGCCATAAAATTTTATATTCCAGCGCTTAAAAAGTCTCTAGTGTGGTGTCATTGAAATTCAATATCAAATCAATTTCAGGCAAAGAAAAAAAAAGTCTGTCATGCATTCAGGTGTGCTTTATGCATCTTAAATGCAACCTTTCTCTTTCTCTGCTTACATGACTTCATGGTGTTATCTTAGTGCCCTTTCCTGTCATTGGTTACTGATAATAAAAAGGTATGTCTTGGCTAGAAACTACAAAGGCAAATCCACAATAGAGGAAAAGCATAGTTCCATTTGCATAAAGAGGCCAGTGGCCATTCATCTTCTACTAGCACAATAGTGTTTCTCAAACCTATCAGCCGTATGATGCATGGAAGGGCTGAGGAATTCTGGGAGCTGGAGTCAATGTAGCTTAAAGATGACAAATTCTAATGTTTCTCAAACATGCTAACCTTAAAATGCATGGACTTCAACTCCCAGAATTCCCCAGCCCATTCATACATTTTAAAGTTCACAGGTTTGAGAAACACTGTTCAACTAACTTTTCTGCCATGTCTCAAGCTACTCCTTACTTACATCTCTGTCATGAAGCACATACTTGATTC